AGCCTATCATATTGTTTCCAAGTAATTACAGGGCTTAAAATATTTTCGGCAAAAGTCTAAGAAAGATAATTTTTATTCCAAATGATAGCACCCTCTAGTGTGGCATGATGGACTCTGTTCTTTGTATGTTGTTTTCCTTTTTATTTTGTAATAATCATGTGGTACCTTTAGACTTTAGAAAAAAAAATTTTTTCCTTTTTCTTTTCTTTCTTTTTTTTAGTCAGAGTCTCACTCTGTCACCCTGGGTGGCATCATAGCTCACAACTACCTCAAATACTTCAGCTTGAGCAATCCTCTTCCCTGAGCCTCCCACGTCGCTGGGACTACAGGCTCCTGCCGCCAGTCTGGCTGGTTTTTCTAATTTTAGGAGAGACAGGGTCTCACCCTTGCTCAGGCTGCTTTCCAGCTTCTGAGCTCAGGTGATCCACGGCCTCAGCCTCCCAGAGGGCTAGGATTACAGGTGTGAGCCACCATGCCTGGCCAAAAATGTTTTATATTTTATATAAGAAACTTTAAAGTTTCTTTGAAAAAGTCAACATTTGTTGTTTGTTGCATATTTTTGAAATTAACTGCAGCTGCTTGTCTCTCCTAAGGAGTTAATTTCTACCTGGCTTCTTTCCATACCTGCTAGAAACAGCCACAAGATTCAGAGCTGAAGAGTGTTCCTTCAATCTAATCATTACTGACTAATCCGCATTTAGAATGCTACCCTGAACCATTAATCAGTCAGTCTTCAGAACAGTCCAACAGGAGAGAGGAACATAATTAGCCGCCCCCCGCCCCGCCCCGGTGTAAACGCGAAACCGGCCCACAGTGCCCGCAGCGCCCCCAGAGGCGGCGGACGCCCCGCCCAGTTTCAGGCCGCAGCACTCCAACAGACGTTAGGACTAGGGATTTTACAGAATACCTCCCATGTTTCTGTGTCATAAGTGCTTGGGTTTAGATCTGATCAAATTCAACAACTTTAATGAGTCTTGCAAACCTTTATAAATACGACATCTGATCTATCTGACCACTTTTCATAGCAACCCAAAAATAATTCGTGTGGCATTCTAGATATATTTTTTAAATGTTCACAAATTCTCCCAAATGTACTAACAGAAGTAGAATAGTGAAGATAATGTGATACTCAAGTATCAAACATATATAGAAACTCCATTACCTCACAGAGCTGGAAATACGAACAGGAGTGGAGGCAAGGAATAAAGACACCTAGAACTCTGGCTTTGATAAAGTTTGATAAAGCATATAAAATGCAAAAATACTTCAGAAAAATATGTAAATACATGTATTGTCAATTTTAGAACAAGCACTTGTCTATGTCTTTCTCCAAAAGACACAGGTTTTTGGTAGTAATATTCTTTAAGCTTAAGGTACAAAGCTTTCTTTAAGCTTGATGTACAAGTGACCTTAGAAGATTGGCACGGTCCCAGAAAATGGCCTTGACTTATTTATTCCATTATTTAAAGAATGCTGGTGAACTCACTAAGAATGAATAAATGTAGGTATAGTCAACCTATAGAAAACATTTTTAATAATTTAAAATTGTTCCTAGCTGGCCATGGAAGGGTAACAAATGTAATGGATCAGGACACGATCGTTCCCACCGCACTGAGTCATCACACTTCATAATTCTCTATGCGCTTCTAAAACACACACATAAACACATGCTTGTTACTTTTAATTGAAAAGCATTCTCAATACCTCTCAAATGAACAAAAATCCTGTTTATATTCTGTCTGCTCCAGTTTATGGCTTCTTAAGAATTTATTCTTCTTTCAAGCACAAAAAGTCTGTTTATGTATATATTTATTTACTTGGCTGGTGGAGCCTCCTCCTTGAACTTTTTGGAACTTTTTAGGGGCAAATGGACTTTTCTTCCTTGATCCCAGGCTAGAGACAAAATAAATCTAACAGATTTAAATGGTCAACACCCTTCATGTCACTGCCGACTTCTCATTCAAAGAGGCACTTTGGACGGCAGGTGGAGTTATAATTATAGATTAGAAAAAAGCCACATCAGCAGCTGTTGCTTCTGTTTGTTCCCAGCTATAACTGTCATCAGTGGGCAAACCGGCATAAACAGGCCTCCACCAGTGGAAAAACATTTAACCCCTGTGCTTGCCACACTCTGAGTCTTCTCAGTAGCCAGAGAACAGAGAGAAAATCTATCCGTGCATGAGCAAGCAGTGAAACCAAAGAGCACAGCGCCAACCTGAAGGCACCTCTTCAGGGGGGGACCAAAAATCTGAAGATTCCCTTTCCTGCCGGAAACTCCAAAGGAGATACATAGGTTAGTGTGCGGAGTAAAGCTATGCATTTTAATTCTGCCCTCTGCTCTGTTAGATTTTAGTTGACATAGCTTGAAAGGAAGAGTGAACTATTAAATGAAAGAAAGTTATTTTGTTATTTAAAACTACTATGCCCATGAGAACAAATTGTGAAATGGGCTTAATTTTATTGTGCTACTCTGCCAATTTTGGCTGTATTCACATTAGACAAATAGATGAGGTAAAGATGGAAAAATTAAACCAGTTTTTGTGGTATGAGTCCCATCCATTGCAATGCAACTTACTTATGCCAAAGGGCCCTGGTTTCTTTATTAAAATCAGTGATGTTGAAGGCCAAGTTTGTGATTTTTTAAAAATGCTGTCATGTAGCTCAAGAATTTCATTTCCTTAAGGAATATGTGCAAATTAGAGCTGGATTGTTTTCCCAGTGCCAAATGAAGACAGTTTTCTTATTTATGATAAAATGTGTGATGTAGGTTACTTTATATAAAGAATCTGCTATGGCATTTATTTTGTGTGTATAGTACAACTCTACTTAAAAGCTCCATGATTTCAGGCTAAGTTGACCTCTATGACTCTCAGATCCTTTAGAGAAAACCAAAATTTTGAAGAAATCTTTTATCTGCATATGCTGCATGTTAGCAAGTAGGATTTTCAAAGATTAGCTTTTGGCCATTTATGCCAAAACCTGAATGGTTAATGTCTTGGTGAAAAGGGATGGGATTCCAAAAAACTCACTGAAAAGCAGGTTTGTGGTTACTTGGTAACCACATCCATGAAACAGATTTTGTTCAGCTCCAAACAGAAAGTGAATCAGCCATAGCATATTATTCAAGACTTTTCATGAGAAAACTGACCCAGCTTCTGGCCACCTTTTGAAGTACAGTAGAGTGCTGACTGTGCATTCAGAACTCCTCTGGGGAGACACCAATATCCATCTAAACTCACCAAAAGTAACCCATCAAGTAAATTCCTGTGGAGGCCTTGATTCTCCCCGTAACAGCAGCTCCTGATTTGTAAGAAAAGACCCAAAGCTGAGTGCAGTGGCTCACACCTGTAGTCCTAGCACCCTGAGAGGCCAAGGCAGGAGGATCCCTGGAGCTCGGGAGTTTGAGACCAGCCTGAGCAAAAAGTGAGACTCCATCTCTACTAAAAATAGAAAAACTAGCCAGGCATTGTGGTGGGCACCTGTAGTACCAGCTACTTGGGAGGCTGAGGCAAGAGGATTTTTTGAGCCCAATAGTTTGAGGTTGCAGTGAGCTGTGACACCAGTGACAGTCTATCCAGGGTGACAGAGTGAGACTCTGTCTCAAAAAGAAAGAAAGGGAGGGAAGGAAGGAAGGGAGGGAGGGAGGGAGGGAGGAAGAAAGAGAGGGAGGCAAGGAGGGAGGAAGGAAGGGAGGCAGGGAGGGAGGAAAGAGAGAGAAAGAAAAGACACAAAGTGAGCCAAATATCCCCTTAGTAAGTTTAAGGGTGAAATAAGTACCTCTTTACATACTTTGGCAAATAGAGGCCCAAATTATAAGTTTGGCCACTGCTTTTGAAAGTGTCAGTTAGCACAGCTTATCAATACCCTAAATCCTCCCATAGATTAAGAAAATACATGGTAGGTGACATCAGAACACATCTCATATGACTCATTTATTCATTCAAGTATTTATGAGCAATGGTTATATAACCTAAAAATAATACTTAGCAATTAAGGCAAGTTTAAAGCTTCTAGTATCTCTGTTTCCAGAGGCCCTTTTCTCCTTTTTCTGCTGAAAGATCCAGCACTGGGATGGTGGTTATCCGCAAGTTCCAAATTATACAAACTGAGAAGGACAAAACAGGGATAGGGCTGCCTGGCTGCTGGCTTGCATTTCCTTATACAGATTTATGACCTATCTTAAACGTTACTTTTCCCTTGTGTTTTGTCTTTTTGCTCTTCTAGAAAAAATTATCCACGATGACTGTGACTTACTCCAGTAAAGTAGCAAATGCAACTTTTTTTGGATTTCATAGGTTACTCTTCAAGTGGAGAGGCAGCATCTACAAACTCCTGTACAGGGAATTCATTGTTTTTGCTGTTCTTTACACAGCAATAAGTCTGGTGTACAGGTACTTTCCTTTGTATGTCTCTTCACATGGCTGTCCAATATCATGTAAGAATACAGTCTCAAAAATCTGAACCCCTTGGTTGCCACTGACTTCCACCACCTCCTCCATTGCGTGATCCTCTTTTTGTCTCCCTTCAGCACAGGGTATTTTAATCCACACCTAACTGGTTTTAGGGTGTTCAGTAGACTCTGTCAGTTTCAGGTGGCTTTCAGTCCAGCCCCACATTAGTTGATCGTAATGAGGTATAGTTCGTGTTTTCAGAACGTTGCTATGGGCTCAGCACCTGTAGCTCAGCAGCTAGGGCACCAGCTGGATCTGGTGGGTTCAAATCCCATACACTGGATCTGGTGGGTTCAAATCCAGCCTGGGCCTGCCAAAAAACAATGACAACTACAACCAAAAAACAGCCAGGCATTTTGGCAGGCACCTGTAGTCCTAGCTCCTTGGGAAGGCTTAGGCAAGAGAATCACTTAAGCCCAAGAGTTTGAGGTTGCTGTGAGCTGCGATGCCACAGCACTCCACCAAGGGCAACATAGTGAAACTCTGTCTCAAAAAAAAAAAAAAAAAAGAACGTTGTTATAAATTGGAAGATGTATACTTAACTCCTTACTATGTGAAGATTTTGAAGGGGCAAAGTCTGCAATCATTTGTGCCTCTCTCCACGACCTCATTCATTGTTGGAATCTGCAATTGGATGGCTTGCAGCAACTACCGTGTATGTGATTAACTGTCCACAAGATGGTATATACCAGGCAGCTTCCCTTGCTTCTGCCTGGAATGACAAGATTTTGCAGTGCCTACAACCCTTACCTGTACCCCAACTGAAGAGAAAGCCTGAAGCTTCCTTATATCTTCTGAGTTTAGAGCATGCTATGTGCACAAAAAGAGGTGCTTATAACATCACAGCATACACCTGCAGATTGACAGGAAATTTTAACAACATCAAACCCAAGAAAAACTTCTATGACTAAAAATTATAGTCAGTACGATTTTACCAGCATGATGAAAGGGAAGCTTTATGAGTTTTTTCATTAAAATTAAATGCATTAAAAAAAAGAAATAAAATTAAATGCATACTTTTCTTCTCTGGAGGAAACTAAAATTTGAAACAGAAAACTAAAGGTTTTTGAGGCTGTATTTTCACCTTTTATATGTCCATCAGTTATTTTTCTTATGCACACAGATGAACACATGTCATTGCTCACACCCATGTTCTTCCTTGCAGCAACAGGACCCCTTGTGGAAAAAGATATTAACTGGCTAACAACTATCAAAAGTAAAATAGCAAGAGCTATTATGCTACACACCATTCCAAACAAGTGCATATATTGGTGTACATTTTGAGAAAATATCTTTAGAGAAATGTCTTATTAAGAACCTCCAATAATTTTTCAGATATGTCATATACTATGATATTATTTTGACTCTTTATGTGTCACCTAAGCCTTCACAATAGTAAGTGAATGAAGACACAATGGTGTTTCATGATAATTCTCTTTGTGGCTCAGCACCTGTAGCTCAGTGGTTAGGCTGCCAGCCACATACACTGGGGCTGGCAGGTTCAAAACTGGCCCAGGCCTGCTAAACATTGACAACTACAACCAAAATATAGGCAGGTGTTGTGGCAGAAGCCTGTAGTCCCAGCTACTTGGGAGGCTGAGGCAAGAGAATCACTTAAGTTTGAGGTTGCTGTGAGCTGTGATGCCACAGCCCTCTACCAAGGGTGACATAGTGAGACTCTGTCTCAAATAAATAAATAAATAAATACCATAATAAAAAAAAAAAAACTCATTAGTTTATTTTTACTTATGTGAGTTTATTGCTGCTACTGATGCTTAGAAGAGAACAGCCCTTTAGAACAGTTGCAGTATAGCCAGAAACGCTCCTTGGAGCCTCAGCCCTTGCTTCAATACCATACTTATACCCCACAAAACTGTATACATATTTTTATCTGAAAACCAAAGAGTGCTTACATTTATAACAATAATGATTGTTACGTTAAGTCACCCTTCATTTTCTAAAGCTCAACTAAAAAATCTTGTTAAAATAGATCCTTCTATTTTAATCAAGAGTATACCAACAACTATAGGAAGAATTTGTCAAGAAAGTCAAACGTATCTTTGGAAAAATACAGACATCGTTTCATTCTCATGCCTACTAATGATCCTAAGTGGGTTTCTCAATTAATCCCATTATAAACAAATAATTATACTTAATTATACTGAATAAAAAGGCAAAATCAGAATTCATTAATTTGATATTTCTATTTTTGACAAAATAATCTCTGTAGTCTTTTCTGGCTACTAAAATTTCTATGTGTCTATTATCTAAATATGTTTTCCTTGGCCAATTAATACCAACCATTTATTATTAAAGAAGTAGGAAGCCATATGTTAAGTAGTTATATATAATAGTATTTAATCTTTATAACATCCCTGACATATAGGTATTATTATCCCCATTTACAAGTGAGAAGACCAAGGCTTAAAGAGATTTAAAAATATGTTCAAAGTCTAAATCTGTCAGTATTAATAGTAGCAATGGGATTTAAAAATCTGGCTTTCTCTTACTCTAAGGTTCATGTTTTGCACGTTTAAAGTCTCTTGACCATTTTATTTGAAGATCAGAAAGCATTCTGGCTATAATTTGTCATCAGTATGACCCTGATAGGCCTGTACAACCATTTGGTGCCTCTCCTGCCAGCTCTCTGGACTTCTGTAATTCAGATCCTATCTCCAAAGCTGGGGCAGGAGCTCCAAGCCCTTCCTGTACCGTGTACTCCCCTCTCTGTTGGGTATCAGCGCCCAGTGCTTCTCCATCTGCAGTCCGATTGGTTGCTCACTATCTCAGTATCCCTACTTTCTTTCTCAAAGTTGTACTGACCCAAATGGGCCTTTGACACTTGCTATGATGGATCTTTCCCTGGGTCCCTTCCTCCTTCAGAGCAACTACACTGTTGATTTTATGCAAGTTGCAAGTTCATTTATTTGGCTTTTCTTTCTGTACACATATTTTGATCATATTAACTGATCTTAAAATATTTCTTCTGACTCTGAATACCCTCCCCAACAATGTAAATTACAATAATAATCTTGCTAAATGCATTTATTGCTAAACCTAGAAAGTGGATCTGGGCAGGTTGGGTCAGATATATAATGTAAATTTTGAGACAGTAACTAAATTTAAAAATAAAAGTTTTCACTCTTGTTAAATCTGTCTTATATTTCAAATAATTCTGATCTTTAAAATGAAGTAATAATATCCCTTGAAGTATGGATGTGACATGTGTAATCAAGAATGCCTGAAATAGCATATTCAGGAGAAAATAAAATCAAAATGTCAAAATCAGTTACTCTTCAACAATTACTTAATAATGCTAATCCATATTTAGTCAATACACTTTTTTAGGTATTCCTGACTGATAACTGAAAAATGGAATATTTTATAACATATCTTGCTTCAAATCCAATGAATCAATCATATAAAACTTTACAAACATATAATTTTTTAAATAAAATGGTTAATAAATCCCACTATTTAATGACCAATTTGGGTACTAAAAACGTTAATGCTCCAGCGGCGCCTGTGGCTCAGTGGGTAAGGCACCGGCCCCATACAACAAGGGTGACAGGTTCAAACCCGGCCCTAGACAAACTGCAACGAACAAATTGCCAGGCATTGTGGCGGGCGCCTGTAGTCCCAGCTACTCGGGAGGCTGAGGAAAGAGAATCGCCTAAGCCCAGGGATTGGAGGTTGCTGTGAGCTGTGATGACAGGGCACTCCATCAAGGGTGATAAAGTGAGGCTCTGTCTCTACAAAAAAAAAAAATAATAAATAATAACGATAATAATAAATGTCAATGCTAAAATACTAAGCAATTTAAAAGCTTTTGAAACACATCAGCTTAGGAAAAAGTTATTGCTCCTTTAAAAATAAAGCAGATTATTTGTGCTTAGTTGTTTGCACTTAATGTCACTTGCAAAGCAGGTGCAGAAGAAACATATCATAAAGGGCTGTGCATTTTATTTTTGCTCCAGATTGTTACTTACAGGAGCCCAAAAACGTTACTTTGAAAAATTATCAATTTACTGTGACAGATATGCTGAACAAATTCCAGTAACCTTTGTGCTTGGTAAGTATAGGTCACACGCAGAATGCAGCCACACAGCTGTCTCTGTTAGGACGACACCGATGATTCTGCATGGGAGTGTTTCCAAGCTGCGGGGCATGCCTGGAAAGCCGCTGCTTGCAATAGGACCAGAATCATATCCCCCAGGTTTCTTCAAGGGCTGCTTTTGCTCATTAACACCCAACGAGTTTGAGGTAACAATCTGCTGTTGGACGATTAAGCTTTCTCCTCACTAACTCTCCAATTTTGCAGTCAATATTTGAGATCTAATACCCACTTACTGGGGTCCTGGCAGTGCCAGGCACAAATGACGTTTTTTTCTGGAGTGCAAAATCGTAAGGTGTGGGTAACAACAGTCCCATAAAAGTCTGCTAAAACCACCAGCGTCCCCGAGGGGCCTGCCGAGAAACTGCTCTGTGCTATAATTTCTGTTACCCTGCAGGGTTTTACGTGACCCTGGTGGTGAACCGATGGTGGAACCAGTTCGTGAACCTGCCGTGGCCGGACCGGCTGATGTTCCTCATCTCCAGCAGCGTGCAGGGCGGCGACGAGCACGGGCGCATGCTCAGACGCACGCTGATGCGCTACGTCAACCTCACGTCGCTGCTCATCTTCCGCTCCGTCAGCACCGCCGTCTACAAGCGGTTTCCCACCATGGACCACGTGGTGGAAGCAGGTACCAGGAGGGTTCTCTGCCGGCGCCTCTGTGCCGAAATGGGGCCTCTAAAATTTCCTTTGAAAATCCTGTATTTACTCATTCACTCAAGAAACATTTATTGAAACAGTCTTAACAGGCAAAGAAGAGTAAGACTCGGTGCCTGCCCTGGAGAAGTTGGCTTGGGGGTAGGGGAGGCAGCCGCAAGTAGTCGCGTTGCCTAAAGGAAATATGATAATTATCATGTTTATTAAAACAGTCTATCATATCTCTTACAGTTTTCTAGTACTTTATAGTTTATGTCTTTTTGTAGCTATTTCAGTTGAATCTCAAGAAAACATGAAAAGGTCAGGTGTGGCGGCTCACACCTGTAATCCTAGCGCTCTGGGAAGCCAGGGCGGGTGCTTTGCTCCAGCTCAGAAGTTCAAGACCAGCCTGAGCAAGAGTGAGACCCGATCTCTAATAAAAATGTAAAAACACTAACTGGACATGGTGGGGCATGCCTGTAGTCTCCACTACTTAGCGGACTGAAGCAAGAGGATCTCTTGAGCCCAAGAATAGGGAGGTTGCTGTGACCTATGATGCCACAGCACTCTACCAGGGCAACAGAATGAGACTCTGTCTCAAAAAAGAGAGAGAGAACATGAAAAGGGTAGAGAACCGATTCAGAAAGATTACCAGCTGTCCTGAATTGCACAAATGATTTTTGGGGGCAGATTTAAAATTCAGTCTTGGAACTCCTAAATTAATACTTTTCCTAAAACAGATCCTGGTAGGAGCCAGCAGACTCTGAAAGGTAGCAGGAAAGGGCTGTTTAGTGCGGACCTCTGTCCCTCTCCTAACCTCTCCTAGACACAGTTACTCTGTCTGGGCTTCGGGAGACACTGAACTGAGAATAGATCACAGCTGAAGGGTGGTTCTCTTATATGGGTAAATACTTAGCAAAGAAGCTGTTAAATCAGCCTTCAATACAGTGAGGATTAAATGAGATAATTCTTGGTACATAAAGTCAATAATAAGAATCATGAAATGATTTTGCTTTTATACTGAGTACACTCAGTATACTGACTCTAATATTAGGGTGTAATAGTCTACTTTTCTGAAATGTCCTTGAAAATAGATTTTTTTTCTTTTTTAGTTTGGGATTCATTGAGTGTACAAAGAATTAGACTGATTGCATTTGTTAGATAAAGTCCCTCTTATAATTGTGTCCCACCCCCAAGAAGTGTGCCATATACCATGACCCCCATCCCCCTACCCCCTCTGTCTCCACTTTCTCATTCCCCTACCCACCCACCCCCTTATATTAGCTCATCTGCTGCCTGCATATTAGAACAGAGTAAATTGGATTCTTGGTTCACCATTCTTGTGATGCTTTAAAAACAAATGTGTTCCACCTCCATCCAGGTTAATACAAAAGATGTAAATTCTCCATCTTTTTAATGGGTGAATAGTATTCCGTGGTATACATATACCATAGCTTGTTAATTTATTCCTGGGTCGGTGGGCATTTAGGCTGTTTCTACATTTTGGCGATTGTAAATTGAGCTTCAATAAACAGTCTAGGGAAAATGTCCTTATGATAAAAGGATTTTTTTTCTTCTGGGTAGATGCCTAGTAATGGGAACGCAGGATTAAATGGAAAATCTAATTTGAGTTCTTTGAGGATTCTTCATACTTCCCTCCAGAAAGGTTGTACTAGTTTGCAGTCCCACCAGCAGTGTAAAAGTGTTCCCTTCTCTCCACATCCATGCCAGCATCTGCAGCTTTGAGACTTTGTGATGTGGGCCATTCTCACTGGGGTTAGGTGGTATCTCAGGGTAGTGGGGTTTTTTGTTTGTTTGTTTTGTTTTTTAAGAGACAGAGTCTCACTTTGTCACCCTCGGTAGAGTGCCATGGCATCACAGCTCACAGCAACCTCCAGCTCTTGGGCTTAGGAGATTCTCTTGCCTCAGCCTCTTGAGTAGCTTGGGACTACAGGTGCCTGCCACAATGCCCGGCTATTTTGTTGTTGTTGTTGTTGTTGTTGTTGTTGTTGTTTGGCAGGGGTCAGGTTTGAACCCGCCACCCTCGGTATATGGTGCCAGAGCCCTACTCACTGACCCACAGGCGCCACCCTCAGGGTAGTTTTGATTTGCATTTCTCTGATTATTAGGGAAGATGAGCATTTTTTTCATATGTCTGTTAGCCATTCATCTGTCTTTAGAGAAGATTCTGTTCATCTCTCTTGCCCAGCGATACATGGGATTGTTGAGTCTTTTTTTTATTGATTAATTTGAGTTCTTCATATATCCCAGTTATCAAGCTTTTGTCAGATTCACAATATGCAAATATCTTTTCCCATTCTGAAGGGTGTCTGTTTGCTTTGGTTGTTGTTTCCTTAATTGTACGGAAGCTTTTTACTTTAAGTAAGTCCCATTTGTTTATTTTTGTTGCCAGAAAATAGATTATTTAAGGATAATATTTGTTTGGTTTTGGAGGGGATTTTTGGCTTGTTTTTGTTTTGAATTCTTAGATGGGCAATACGGATAGTGACTATCTAAGTGAAAATGAAAATGTAGAGATGAATCTCTAAATTAAATGTTTTATTTGGGAAAAAAGAATTGCAACTTAGGACTTAAATGCGGACTGGATGGTCTTTGGTATATTTGAAGAACAAGAGAAGGCTGGCAGTTTTTTTAAAAAGAGAAAGGTTGCATATTGCTCTCTGAGAAAGTTCATTGGCGCTGCTGTGGTTCTAGCGGGTGAGCAGGTTTTGACTGCTGGGGGGGCAGCAAGTAAAATTGCTTCTAGAGGTGCAGCAAGTCCTTTCAGCAGCTATCAGGGAAAATAGTTTTTAGGTCTTAGCAGGTAATTTCAGCAGCCAGGCTTGCAGTGAAATTACATTCTTGGAGCAACATTATGTGTCCTGAGTGCTTTTTCTCACTGGATTCTCTACTCCATTTTCGTTGCATATCATGAGACCACTTTCACAGTGACTAAGAGCACAGAGGAAGGGTTTAAATCCTTACTCCACCACCTACTAGCTACATGACTTTGTCTGAGTTGGTTAACCTTTCTGCACCTCAGTTTCCTCATCTGTAAAATGGCCTTATAATAATGCCCACCTCATATATTGCACGGGTTTTTTATGAGGAGTAAGGAAGTTAATATTTGCAAAGTATTTAGAGCATTTCTAGCATATGGTAAGCACTGTGTAACTTCTCACTGTTAGAACAAAATCACCTGAACAGCATAAATAGCACTTTGGTCACTTTAGAAGACTCGTGTCGACATGACCTCAAGTAGGTCTTCTTGATGCACTTTGACCAGGAGTTTGTGGAAGCCAAGGTGGAAGTAAGCGGGGGTAGGGGTGTAGATGACTTTGTCAGGGACACAGGATGAGGCATGAGGAAGTAATGGGGTACAGGAGTTGATGAAGGCCATAGTGAAGGGCCTGAGTAGCTCGGCGTGCAGGTATATTATTATATTGTTTGTAGGAACTTTTTTTTTTTTTTTTTTTGAGACAGAGCCT